AACGGGCTATGTGGAAGTGAGTCACTATTCTTCAACTCCTCTAATTTCATTGAGTTGTATCATAATGCTCCCCAAGGAGTCTCTGTCCCCTGCCAAGCCACCAGCCTGGGCCATGGATGCCAAGTCTCTCAGGCCGGCTTAACTCACTCCTAGGTTTTGTCTAGGGGAGTGACCTTTCAATGAGCCAGAAAGTCCTCTTCAATAATCTCCTTAGAGGAAAATTTCTCACACAAAAATACTTTATTACATTTAAAGAACATCTATTAGTTCTTACAATATCACATCCTCTAGAAAGGATGGTCTCTGATTCTCATAGCAAGGATATTTGTTATTCCCTCATATGTACCCACGTTTTCTGCAGTGGTGCTACCTGTCTCTGTTGTGTTTAGGGGAAGATAGGATATCCTATGAGCTTGAATTTTGGGAAGCAAAGGGGTCACTTCAGCTGTTACTGAGAGCTGGCTTGGGCTTATAGCATGAGACAAGGGTTAGGAGGAGAGTTGATGATGGAATTGCTGACCCACCCCCTTCCTGGTCTCCTTCAGTTGTATTTTTGAAGATATCCTACCTTAAAAATTCATTACTTTGTCATAATATTATCATTAGAAATACAAATAAATATCTACCAGGCAAATATTTGGTGCTTACAAAAGGAAGAAATTCTAACAGACCACATCCTAGTATCTGGACCATTCAATCCTTTTCTTTGCTACCTCATTACCTTAAACAATATGTAGTCATGACATGGGGTGGATCAGGTTTATACAGGCCTCACAGGGCCAAAGACTCTTCTCTGGGAACTTAGGAACAGTATGAGAAAATAAACTTCACACATCCTAAAAGTGGAACTCAAAATTTAAGGGCAGGGAGGCCCTCAGTTCAGAAGGGTGAGAGAAAATTCTCTGACCATAAATCTGTGGTGGCGCACAGCTTCTACCTGCACCCAAGATCCCATTCCCTTCCTGATAAAAGCTGAAGAGGTGGGCACTGCTACCCAAATCTCATCCTTAATGAAAACAGCTGATTACCATATCTCCTCTTTTCTCCCCATGTGACAAGCTCTGGGGACACAAACTGTATTTTGGTAAGTGCTGGTGGTGGAAGCAGGGATTAGAGCTCTTGGGAAGGCTGTCGTGAGCACTGTTCACCTCCCTGCTCCACATGAAAAATGTTCTCAGGCTACATACTTTTTTCTCCCATCTCCACCCCACAAAGGGTGTAGAAAGATCTGAATGAATGGTACAAGTGCATGAGTATGTGTGGCCACCTCAGTTTTTTGATTGTTGGAACCTGTGGATCAAGGATGTGGCGAGTTGGTAAAGCAGAATGTATTCTCTGCTCTCTTTCCTTCTGACAGGAGGTGGCGAAAAAGAAGGTACAGAGACGAAAGGGCTTAGAAAGCTGCGAGGGGAAGGAGAAATACTGTTTACAGGCTTGAGGAAGTCTCTCCATGTTATCTTCAAGTAACACTCAGGTCACTCTGTAGCCACTGGAAGGAAACTGCATTCAAAGCTAGGGACATGAGAGTTGACCCAAACCTGCGTTGCATCACCTCATCTCCTGCCCACCCAGCATCCCAGCTCTGAAGAGATTTAAGTCTCTCCATGTTATCTTCAAGTAACACTCAGGTCACTCTGTAGCCACTGGAAGGAAACTTCATTCAAAGCTAGGGACATGAGAGTTGACCCAAACCTGCGTTGCATCACCTCATCTCCTGCCCACCCAGCATCCCAGCTCTGAAGAGATTTAGAGACAGGATATTTTTCCTGTAAAAATTGGCTTTTTTGCAAATTAAAAAGTAGCCATTGTACAGTGGACACAGAACTGGTGAGTACTGGGTGAGGAGGGGGGAAGGGGTTATTGCTGGGTGGATGCTGAGATGGCCGTGCCAAGGCCTAAGATGATGATAGCTGCTACTTAAAGATCTGTTGTAATTGTTTGAAACATACTTTGAACTAAAAAGTGAGTTCTTCCTGCTGGGTGGTCACCCTGGCAAAAGGAAGCTGCTCCTCTCTTAGACTGTACATGGTGCCGGCTCGATGACATCATTGCAGGGCAGATGGGTCACATGGTCATTAATGAGAGGAATGCTCATGGTGTAGCCTCCCAGCACCTGCAGAAAAATGAAGCAGAGAAGGAGGGAAAGGCTGGTGGTTGAGTGAATGGAAAGGGAGGAAAATGAATGAGGAGGGAAAAGAATGACCTGGTGGATGGGAGGGGATGGGTGTCTCTCTGGGCACTAGTTGTGGCACTCCCACTTCTTGTCCCCTCCCCCACTACCTGACTTAGGCCCCACCTGCTGGTGACTGACTAGAACACTGACCAGGTGAGCTGTGCTTGGTTCCATCTCGGTAACAGTGTATATGTGCATGGGGTGGTGGGATAAGTGGGGGCAGAGGATGTCTTTGAGCACAAAGACAAGCCTGCAGGGATGTTCTCAGGCCTCCAAACCCCCTTTTGGGTAAGTGCACTCCTTACAGCCATTCTTTCTGACATTGTTCAGAATCTTGTACTCAGTGCAAACAGTTGGCTTAGCAGGGTTGATCTATGATCATTATGTGCTTGGTAGAACCATGGAGTATCTACTTCAGGACACCCACAGCTCATGCACCACCAGTAGGTTGTGGAGTTATGACAAGGGAGCAGTTTTTTTCTGGACTCACCTTGGACCACTACTCAGGCCACTGAAGCCAGCATGGCCAAATGTTCTGAATACTTCTTATTTCTCTACATCCATGTGGTCTGGGTCAGCACCGTTAAAGGGCTGAGTGGAATGACTGCTGAGAAAGAAGAGCCCACAGAATAGAGTCACCAAACGGAGTCCCCATGAAATAGAGAAAAGAGCCACTGTAGCCACCTGTTGTACCATATCCACCTGCAGAAGACAAGAGGTTAGGGTCGATGTGGCTCATGCTGGCTCCAATTCAGTCTCTCCACCCACCTTAGCTTACATATCCAGGACCTAGAGAATCAATCTTTACCTCCTACAGAGTGGTTCACATGCAGAGAGTAAAACCTGGAAAAATGAATATCTGCTTTTCCTTATGTAATTATATTATAAATAACTATGCAATTACTTTTCATTACATAAGAATGTATTTTTTATTATTTAATAATATGAAAGCATATATTTATATTATTCAATAATAATAAAAAGTATACTACTACTAATACCCTTTATATACACACTAATATTGCACATTCATCTGTTTATTTGATCTTCCAACTTGAAGTTCAGAGGAGATGAGTAACCAAATAGGTAGAAAACCCAGGACTGGAGAACTCAGAGGGGGTGACTCTTAGAACAGTGACCTTTCTCATGCTCCCATGGCCTAACACTCCCCATTCAAAGGGAGCTGGTGGCTTAGAAGTGCTGAATGACTGTCCATGCGTCACATATGTTGAACTTGACTCACAGATCTTTGTTTCTCATTAGGAACTGCTCTGCATTCTG